CACCAAAATTATTCTACACATGATCTTCAGAAAAATGGTGACATTGATGTGCAACAAATCCGTTCAAGTGACAATCCGACAGATTTATTCACTAAATCTTTGCCAACTTCAACTTTTGAGAAGATGGTATACAAGATTGGAATGCGGAGACTCAAATATTTGAAATAAGATTTTTATCAGAGGGAATAAAATACGCGCTATACTCTTTTTCCTTTACTAAGGTTTTTTCCACGGAGTTTTCCTTATAAGGTTTTTAATGAGATAACTAGTTATGTGTATTACTAAATATGTGTGCTCTTTTTCCTTCACTAGAATTTTCTTTCCATAGGGTTTTTCCTAATAAGGTTTTAATGAGGCACATTATCTTTTAATAAACATCCAATGGAGAGTGTTATAAATATATTATATTATGGATGTTCATTTAGTACTCCGTTGTAAATAAGTTTCCTGAATAAACTTATCTATATAAGACTCCGCCGTAAATATGTTTATCTATTTAGTACTCTATTGGAAATAAGCCTCCTGAAGAAGTTTATCCTTTCGGTACTCCATTATGGATAAACATCACGCCCAGTAGAAGATTATCTATATCTGGTACAGTAGCAGCTTACACAACAACTTGCAGAATCAGCTTACACAACAACTTCTTTTCTTCTATAAATAGAGGAGATTTCAGTTCATTATGTACATAAGTTTAAAGTTTGAATAATATATCCGTTTCTCTCTGTACTTATTTTTCTTTTACGGTCTTTCTTTTAGAACAGTGAGTGCTTTTGTAATTTTCTTGATCGAAAACATAATTTTTGTCATATTCTTTTGGCAATAAAAATGGAGAAGAAATCAATGGATTAAAAAAGAAAAAAAACTGTGGGCGTGTTTGCACGGAGTACTAAGGAGTGTCACGCAACTTGCTTGCTAGCTGACTAGGTAAGGAGCATGAGTCCACGAGGGCGTATGGCACGTGGGGCCCTTATCCCTTCTCATTCATAGTAACTAGTAATAGCATCTTCAGGAAACTTTTATTTTATGGCTCATATACTTGTGGAATACACTACTTTGTTTGACAAGTGGACTCCTTGGGTCCCACTTTTCAAGCAATTAAACCTAAATTGAGAAAGATTTTCTTTCTTTTTCCAACCCGCTCCCTCCACCGTTTTTGGGTCGATTTTATGTTTGACTAATTAATTTAAAAAATATTTAAAATAGTAATTAGTATTTGACCAAACTTTTTAAAATTATTTTTAAGTTTATTTTTCTCAAAAAAGTATTTTTGAAGAGAAACTATATTTTTCTGCTTCTCAAAAATGTGCTTCTGTTTCTCCTCAAAATTATTTTTTTTCCTTCTAAAAACTTGTCCAAACACTTCAATTTGTTTTGCCAAAAACACTTTTAGCCAAAAAGCATAGAGATTCAGTCCATAACCGAAAAGACTATTGCAACTCAATACTGTAGAATTTTAATGTGCTAAAAATTATTTTTAATGAGAACTTAGAATTTTTGAACTAGTTATCTTGATTGCTAATTAATTAATGAAGAGTAATGGAAAGAAGAGAATTGGGAAGACGATAAAAGGGAAGGAGAAAGTCTGGCATAGGAGAGGAGGAAGAAGCTAAACGGAGGATGGGAGGAGAGAGGGGGTTGGAAAAGGAAAGAAAATCTTTCTCAATTTTGGTTTAATTGCTTGAACACCTAAGCAATCCACTTGTCAAACAAAGAAGTGTCTCACGCAAGGATGACTTGGCGCGTGGCACAATTCTCGTGATCCGAGTAACCAACTAACCTGATTGTACAGGTGTTAATGGATATTCGAAAATCGCCTAAACCGATCGAATCGTACCGCACTCAACTGATTTTTAGGTTTCTTTTAAAGAAATTATAGGTTTTTATATAAATCGATAACCATACCGATAATTAGAGTAAGATTTTTATTTTATGAAAATAAACCAAAAAAATATCGAACTATACCGAATAAAGTTTACATGTGAAAAAATAAATTATATAGTGAGTTTAAAAATAATAATGCATTAAATTTTTCTTTGGGCCTCGGAATTATGGAAGGAATTTTTACATTCTTATACACTATTTGAAACTTTATTACCCTTCCTACTCAAGTTTCAATTTAATTACATCATATATACAAATTTACCAATTATATACACTTTAGGTATTAAATGAGTATCTCTTTATATTATGAATCAATTATTTCTTATCCTTTTTCTCTCTCCCTCCTGCTCTCTCTCTCTCTCTCTCTCTCTCTCTCTCTCTCTCTCTCTCTACGTCTCTCTCTATCTCTCAATCCCTAATTCCAGTAATGTAAAGCAAAGGAAAAGAGAGCAGAAATTCTGTTGTTACAAACAATTGAGAATATTGTTTGGAGTTTATATCTCAATTTTGAGGGTGTTTTGGTGAAGATTAGACGTGATTTTGTCTGAATTTCAGATTGAAACTCGAAGAAGAAGACATGATATACATTATACTTACGAAATTGTAGTAAAATTATAGAAAAATTGTATTCTGGTGTTTGTATATATTCTTTTTATTTAAATATTATATGAAAGTTGAACAATATTGTATAAAATTGTATTTAAGTTGTATGATATTGTAGTTGTATATAACTGGGTAGAAATAATGTATGAAAGTTATAGATAAGTTGTAGATATATAATTAGTTGTATGAAATTTATTTTTACTATGTATAAATCGGATACAAAATATACAAAAGACATATTGTATAAAATTTGTATAAAAATTATATTTAAGTGGTATGATATTGTAGTTGTATATAATTAGGTAGAAATAATGTATGAAAGTTGTAGATAAGTTGTAGAAATAATGCTGTATCATGGATCCTGCAATTAGCAATTAGCAATTAAGCAAAATTGGCAAAACATTTACTTGAATATTTGCTTGGAAAGATTGATCTTTATTCTACTTGTCTTAACGAGGTGATTCTGGTAAGGTTAAATTTTTATTTTCGTTCTGTTAACCATTGCCTAAATTGAAAAGAAGAAATAAGTCTAAATGGATCAAAAGAAGGAAAAGACGACATCAACCATGATCGTCTGAAAATTATTTTCCCAAAAAACTTACTAATGTGAATTTTGTATCTTTTAAGTGAGGAATCAGTATTTGGGAGAACTGTACAAAAATGACAGGGTGGAGAAAAATAGCTTCCATGATTACCGTATATTAAAGAGGAAGAAAAATAAGGAAAGAGAAGAGCAGAAAAAAAGAAAGAAAATGGTGTAACTAAATCCGTTGATTGAAGGCACAAATAATGGATTTAGGAGTCTTTTAAGGTGAATTGTATATATTTTGTAACTAAAATGTGTTTAGGTCGGGTAAATACCAAAACATGGACATTTTTTATAATAAGGTTTCAAATAGTGTATATGAATGAAAAAATCTCATTATGAAAATTGTTACAACCCAACAAGTAATTAAACTCAAAATACTAATTTCTAAAACCTATTATGCTACTTTTACTTAAACTAAGTTATTTCAAGTATCTTCATTAGCAAGACACAAAGTATTCTAACGATTATGAGTAACAAACTATAATGTATCGAATATTTTTCCGTTCATATAATTTAGATTTATCTTTTTGAATATTTAATCTTCTATAGACTTTATTTTTGAGTCCCAACTTGGTTAATATCTTTCACTCGTATGATTTATATTTTCTTTGCCTTTACTTGGTTTCTTTTACGTTGTTATAGAATAGTTGATGGATCTATACTTTAGCCATTTTTTTTTAATTCATCACCCTTTAAACAGTAAAAATGTCTAGAGAGTTTTGCTAAGTTCTATAAAAGAACATATGTTATTGCATTCTACTTCTACTGGTGAATTTTACATGAAATTTAAATAAATACCGAAAATTAACTGAACCGTACCGATACCGAAGAGAAACCGACATGATTGGGAAGATTTCGAAAAGTTTAATTTTGGTTATACATAATAGAGTAACCAAAAAATTGATATGGTACAAATTTTATAAAATAACCGACCTAACCGAACCATTGACACCCCTACCTGTTTGGCCAAACTTCTAAAATCAACTTATTTTAAGAATTATTTTTTTAAAAAGTAATCTTTTTCAAAAGTTCCTTTGATAAATAACATTTTGTATTTGGCAAATTAATTAGAAAAACACTTCTGAACATTGATTAGTGTTTGACCACGCTTTTAAAAAGTATTTTTAAGTGTATTTTTCTCAAAAACACTTTTCAAAAAAGTACTTTTGGGAAGAAACTATTTTTTTCTGCTTCTACTCAAAAGTATTTTTTTCTTTCTAAAAACTTGACCAAATACTTCAACTTTAAAAAAAAAATATATTTTTTAAATAAAAAAAGTATTTTTGACGTTAAAGAAGCTTGGCCAAACAGCATGTGATTCCACCCGCCAATGTTTTGCACCCACCAACACTGGTTAAGCGCCAAAAAGAGATGGAATAATTTAACCACACCACCATACAAATGTTGTAGGAATTAAGGTCCCTCCACTCTAATAATATAACAATTCTCGAGTTTGAACCATAAAAATGAAAAGCTGTACATAGTCAATAGGCGATGTGAATCTGAATTAATCGAGCCAGATGATATAAACACCCCTCCCCTCACACGGTTTAACCCTTGACAAAAAGAGATTTGATTTAAAGTTTACCTAAGTTTCTATGATTTGATTCACGAAAAGGAAAGGAAATAAAAGGGGTCCAAGAATGGCTTGTGTACAGTACCAATTATGCTGGAAAGAGGAAGACAGAATTTGGCACATGATTACAGCCGATTGAGCTACATGCGGATGCTTTACAGTAGCTTAAGAAGGGTTTTTCTTTTTTTACTTGGCGTATGGAAGCTTTATAGACCAACTATGAACAATGGCAGGGGCGTATCTAATGTATTAATGATGAGTTCAATTGAATACATAATTTTCGATGCAGAGAAAAAATTTATAAGCAAAAATTCATTAAATTGTAAAAATAGTATATATGAACTCATAACTTTAAAAACATAATGGATTTAATGCTAAAAAACTTTAAAAGATGAACCCATAGAGTTTAAATTCTGAATCTGCTTATGCTATTGACAACCACTTCAATATCTCTCATTACCTTTGACTATAATGTCACAGCAGATAGAGGCCTGGATATCTCTAAAATGATAGAAGCAAAGGTTGAAAATTGCCTCCATGTTGTTGATCTTCTTGGCAGACAGCGATCAAACGACGTTAATCTTGCTACTCCTAAGGCAGAGCCAAACTTCCTCTGCTTCTTTGGCAGCTAAAAACTTGACATCTATCACAAGATGTATGTTGTTTCAGTAACATATTCATCTTGATGTCAAGGAGCCAACTACTTTATCAAATGGTGTTGGAAAGCGAATACCAGAACCTATATGGCTTGTTGTGGGGGCACGCCCGGCAAAACACATTCGGGCCTAGAACCTGCATTCCCCCGGAAAACCAGTTCAAGTGATTAGTTCTAAAAAGTAGCAAAATCAAGGACATGCTGTCTTTCTATTAGTTAAAAGGAACGGTGATAAAAAAGAAAGATATCCTGGAAAAAAAGAAAGAAAGAGACGAAGCATGCAGAGAAAGAATAATTACTTACTGATGTCAAATTCTCATATGCACCAAAGATCATACGGATGCGAAAACATGACCTCCCTTTTCACGGAGACGGATCTAGGATTTTTATAATATGTGTGCATCACTAAAAAAGGAGAAAAAAGGAAGTATTAAGTTGGATTTAACTCCTTGTCCTCTAGTAAATAATTCAAGATTCAACCAAGTGAGCACCATTTAGCCTCTTTGGAGTATGGGTGCCAGCAAATAATACTAGATCAATTCTAAAAATATGTAAATAAAATACCTAGTTTGACTGAAAGACCGTTGGGTTCACGTGCCCCATGTATTTGCCTACAAATCCGCCCCAGCTTTTCCGCCAGCCCCATAGCTCTGACACCTTCTTGGTACTATCAGGCATTAGTCAATTACCACTTGAAAACTTAACATGCCACTTAAAAGAATTGAATAAACTAGCATATTCAGTTAAATGGACCTCAATTGTTGTCTTGATTTGTAAAATCAGGTGTACATGCCAACCCAGAAAAAACACTCAGTGCCAAGCTTAGTGGGACCAGTAGAAGCCCTGAAATAATCTGCTAATTGGAACAATATCTGAGCAAATGGATGAATTAAACAGTAATAAGAACAAAACTAGTTCATGAGATTTTACGTATACAGTTTTGTAAGAACCTTCACTTTGCTGGTAGTCTTTCGGAGAGTCAACAGTTATGCTACCAATAAGCAGAACCTGAAGAAACAAAAATAGGAAGTCTTGAAGGCGCTGCGGGAAAGAAAAAGACGTCTAAATCTTCTACATCACATTTAGAAATGACATTAAGGAAAAAATAGAGGCATACCAATCGCAGTACACATCTATTGACAGTATCTCAAATCCCCACCCTGCAGGATAATTCAACAGAAACAAATCACATCCAAGAACTCCAAACTCAAATTTGCAATTATCAAATATTACTTCCAAGCCTTTAATGAGGTTTATTCCAATTTGGTCTTGTTAAAAAAAGATTCAATCATCAGCTAAATCTGTAATTTAGTAATAAAGGTATAAACTGCACAAAACGCTATATCCAATTTTGTGCACAGTTGGAAACTCGATAGATAGTGGCCCCTCCCTTTATCCTTCTCCACTTAAATACCATGCTTTAATCAGCGGCAGAGTTCGAACTCGTGCGCCTAACCCACACAACAATCTGCACTCTTATAACTAGAGTAAAGCCCTCTGTATTTTGCCTATCCTTAAAAAGTCTCTTTCTACTTTGGTTTTAAGTTACCCAACAACGTTGCACACTTTCTTACATGAACGTTTAGCCTTCGATATTCCTTGTAAAATTGTAAATGTAGCAACTTTTTTGTTCGATTTTTGTTTAATCTTTTTTTATAATTAAAATACTACTCTCTTATCTCAATTTATATGATATTCCTTCCATTTTGGGACATCCTGAAATATGGCACAATTCCCTTATATTATTATTATTATTATTATTATTATTATTATTATTATTATTATTATTATTATTATTATTATTATTATTATTATTATTATTATTATTATTATTATTATTATTATTATTATTATTATTATTATTATTATTATTATTATTATTATTATTATTATTATATTGGTCTAGCTAACATACTACATTCATATAGTATGTTAGCAATGTACCCATTTTTAATTTTCTTAAAGATCCTCACTTTTTGATTCCAACACATTAAAATCAAGGATTCTTTTTCATTTCATAAAGAATTCCTCAAATTCATTATCCTAAGAATATGAATAATCCCTTAAGAGTAACGCCCATTTTTCTCACATAGTGAACTTAAGAGTAATCCCTTTACTGGGATAATCATGAACAGATTTTTCATGGGTAAGCAATCAAAAAAATTCACGAAGACCATACAAAGAAAAAAGTAAAGTTAAAGGACCATAAATTTAATGGCAATCACCCTCCAGATCCCTTGAATTTCCTAAGAGAAGCAGCAGAAAGAGAGATCTTAGGCAGAAGTGGCCAAAAGTAAGAAGAAAAAGAGAAAGATAATTCAAGCCATCATCACCCACTTCAATCCTCTAGTGAATAGCTACTGTAAGTAATCTCATCCTTTCAGTTCATGTTACTGGTGTTAGTGTAAAGGTTTCGCCGGAGGAAAATGAGTCGCCGGTCAAGAAAGCAGAAGTGGGTGATTGTTATATAAGGAAGGGGAGAAGGAAATGAATTTAGGAGATTTTTTATCAAATGACAAAAAATAATTCCTCGATTTTAATGTGCAGAAATTAAAAAGTGGAGACAGAAATTAAAAATAGGTACATTGCTAACACACTACTTTAGAATGTAGTATGTTATATATATGGACCCATAACACCCGAGCAGCAGTTATAATGCAAGTTACTGATGACGAAGACAAGGGTGCAGTTGCTGATCCAGAAAAGTTGACTATGATCAAGAACCTCTTATGCAATGTACTTAGAAGTAGCAATAAATCTAAAGATACTAAGACGTTGGTATCTCACGGGGTCACTCATAGGGAGAGAAGGCTTCACCAGTTAATGTATGCGGACCGGGACTATGAACGTGCAATAGCCAACAGGTGAAGGATCTGATGATAAAGAAAGGCCGAATGTGAATGTTGTTAATTGGCAAGATAAGGATTATTCTGTAGTGAAAATACTGAAGGACCAGAAGCTATCCAATTGCAAAATAATTCCATCTCCCAAAAGCATCTTAATTCCTAACCCTCTTCCTCAAATCCTTTATTTTATGGTGAGAGTTGTAACTACCTGCTGTGGTGATAGTTTCACCTGACTACTGCTTGATAGCACGGCTCTATGGGTGCTATCATTTAGACTGCCATTGTAAACATTTAGGATGCTTGTACCTCCTAAATCTTTGGCTGAGAGTTCAACAACAACAACAACAACCCAATATAATCCCACTAGTGGGGTTTGGGGAGGGTAGTTTGTACGCAGACCTTACCCCTACCCTGAGGTAGAGAGACTGTTTCCGATAGACCCTCGACTCCCTCCCTCCAAGAACTCCCCACCTTGCTCTTGGGGTGACTCGAACTCACAACCTTTGGTTGAGAGTTCATCAAATGAAAATTCATTCATATCGCCTCCACCAATAACCACGGTAAATAAAATATATGTTTCGCATTTGTGATTTATCTTCCGTGGTTGTTTTAATCTTATCTAATTTAATATGACTGTACATTCATTTTAGCATCCACGTCTCGGCTACACTTATCTTCAGGATGTGTTGGACTATAGCCGCCCAACATTCACACACACACACACACACACACACTCAAGCCCCCTCGCTTACCACAATGAACAACATCTTTCCCGATCAATTGGTTTTTTATTATTTCATAAGAAAGATGGCAATCCTACCACTGTAATTTTTTTTTTTCATTTGGATCCTATCAACTTGGAGAGTGTCTAGATTAAGACATTTCTAGTATTCGGACTATCAAGATCGACTAAATGAGAGTATAGCTGACATGGTAAAAGAACAAATCAGCCACACTTTTCTGGACCCCTTTTTGGGAAAGGATAGTGGGTAGGGTTTATCTTCCCCCCATACTATTTACGCACCGGAAATCATTCCACGTACAGGAACTAGGGAAAAAGGGCTCGAATTACAGGGATCTAATACCTTCTTCCCTTGGTAAAAAGGACTTCTGGCATCATCAGAAGGATCGAAATCACATTCGCAGGCCGATAATTTTTCTGGATAGGTCAAACTATTGGAAAAAATAAAAAAGAAAGACTGAGGGGAGCAAAGAAACTAGCAGACTAATCACTAAATAGATACAAATAGGTGCAAATTCTGATATCACCACAGAAAACTTGGTTCTTTCACTCCTTTCTGGAGGAGCGGCGTACCAAAAGAAATTGGAAGATCGACGACAGAACAACTGAAATAAATTCAATTGAAATAATTCCAAAATACTTCCACTACATTTCTAATGGCGATTCTAATGAATAATTCATCAATGACGAATAAAAAAATCTATGCAATTCTGAAAGGGGGAAAGATCCCTAGGATATTATCATTCGATTAAATTGACAATTTCAAAAAATTGATAATATATATATATATATATATATATATATATATATATCAAACTAAGACCTTGAGCTTCGTGTCCAGGCAAACAACATCATATTTAATGGGCAGAGGGGAATACATCATTTGGAAGAGATGATTCAGTCAACTTTCTTGCCAGTTGAATCAATTACCACCAAGATGGGGAATGAGAAGCAGTTCATGCAGAAAGCGAAAGCACCTGTAACAATACAACTTTATCCTTCATTCCTTCTACCAGTTGTGCATTGCACATTAAGTGTTATCTATTCAAGACGATCTCCAAAAAGGGGAAGGGGGAGAGTGTTGGGTAATAGGTGCTTTCTGTGTGGAGTACCTTCCTTTAGCATCGCCTAGTAAGAAAGGGGTTTGGATTATTTTCGTCCTTTTTGGGATGGATTAGGCATTCATGGGATGGATTGCGAAATGCTTATCTAAAGATGCAAAGACTGTAAAGAAGTAAGAAAATTTTGTGATGGAGCTTCCCTGTTCATCATGTGGTAACAATGGGAACGAAGGAAAACGAAGTGTGCTTCAAGGAGAGTGTAGAAAAATGTATAGCTTATGGCACACTAAAATAAATAGCTTAAGGCTCAATGTTTGGACAAATTGTTTTCGGCATGGTCAAAGAACACAACTAACAGCAATTTGATGCCTTTTGATCAACTAATAAATATTTACCTTATATAAAAGAAACAATATGCTCAAAAGAGATGACAGACCAAAGTTTAAGGAGGTTCCTATACCAGAAATCCATAAAGTACAAAAGAACAACCCAATTAGTTTTTTTTTTTGGGCTAAAAAAAGTAACAAAAAGCACTATATACAACAAACAAATATCAAAGTATCAACAGTCTGCCACTCTAGCTTCTCCTATCATGACAAGATTTATCTAAGACCTTTGTTCAATGTTCATAATAGCACTCCGACAGCAAGTACTTGAAAGGAGGATTTCCCAGTAATTAACTTCCCCC